CATAAGAGTGTGAGAACTTTATTTGGGTTTATAGTGTTTATAAATCTACCTATTGTCAGCTTTCGTAATTTTTTTATAGTTTCATATTTTAAAACGCGGTAATTATGAAATGCTTATATTAAATTCATTTTGGAGTAGATTGTATGTTAATATAGTTTAGCTTTAGTTCTTAGTGCTAAGTATCACCTGTAAGGGTAAGAATGTATCAGAGTTCCAAAGGTTTATTCCAATTTGTTTACCTGGGTGATACAACTCAAGCCATTGAATTTTCTTTTTTTATATAAATTAATTGCTTTTATAAAATGAAAGTGTTTTAAATTTTAGTTTGTATATTCCTGTGTGAGAAAAATATATTTAAGGCACAATAAATGTTGTGTAAAAGTGTAAAATATTTCTTTTATTTCGATTACCCTCAGGTAATATTAAAAAAAATTAAAACTCAACGACTCATCGTTGAGTTTTAATTTTGAAAGACAGGTAAGTAACGGTACTTAATTGTCATCAATTTTTTTTTATATTTGGTGGGCCAACGTTTGACCACTATCTCGCCTGGTAGTAAGCGATGCGGTCTACAATGGATCACGTCGTCCCATAAGCAACATATTCACTCGGGCCTTAAAGACACCCAGGTCAAACCCTTCAGGAAATACATACTCGGGCAAAGAATTCCACTCCTTAGGAGTACGTACAAGGAAGCTTGATGCGAAGCGCTTCGTGCGTATGAGTGGTCCCACTCTAGATGTCCATCTACCATGAATGGGTGACGTTTCGCTGATTGTCTTGTGGTACGATGATAAAAAGACTAGGGGGAATCAAGTTGTGCAATTCTCCCGCACACTCACCAAAATGTATCCGGTAGAAAACTTTTCGGTTTTCGGCTTGCAACCTTAGTATTTACTGGCAGGCACAAATTTAATTTGGATAATTCCTTTCCTATTGCGATTATTCTTTTTCAAAAACTACTGTTTCCAACGAACATTACATAATAAGGTCACCTTATTAATCACTAAAAGGTAGGTAGATTTGCGAAGGCATTATATACTACGTGTTTGTATTCAGTAAGTCAGTATAACAGTGTGAAACCCACTTTTAACAGTTAGGTATGTTGTGGATTCCAACAAGTTCCTCGCAATAGGTACAGAGAGTCAGAGACTTCGTACCTAGGTACTATTACTGAGAAATGTAATATCCAAAAAGTGAAAATGCCAGTAACGTCAGCCCGATTCGGAAATCCTTGAGAAGTTTAACCGACTCTTACCTACACGCGTGAGACCATAGATGTAAATTAATATTTCTGTGTGAAAGACGATTATGAGCTGTAAAAGTATATTCTAACTGCTACTCTGCTACTCGGACCTAGGTAAGTACATGTATGGAACAGGGCATATGAAGGTAACATAAGACTAAATACTAAACTAGAAATAATTACAGCCGATCCCTTTGTACCTACCGTATTGTATCCTACGGTATCTATTAGTAAAATCGTAATTTTAATATATAGATATCTGACTAGCAGGCGTAGCGTGGCCTCCTTTGGTTTTTTTTGCTGAAACCTTTGAAAAGTTCACCTACATTTGTTTTATCAGTAATGTACGGAGAGTAAAGAGAACGCTTCCAAAAAATATGATGAATAGTACCTACAGTTAAAAATAAAATATGGCTGATGATCAATAATATAATGCTAACGCCTTTAACGAAGTTAGTGAAGTTTTCAGTCGGCAGTTATTAACTTCATAAATAAATATATCAGATACTTCGTATATCAGATTCTACTAAATTTTAAAATCCTACGATCAACGGTCATATTTTCGAACTTTGCATCTAATATGTATTTGCCTTCGTCACAATAAGACGTACCTACACATTTTGGTTCTTCATTTTACGATTTAAATGTTCCACGAATTACTTACAAAGACAAATATCATTGTTTCATTTTTTAGACAATGCTAACAGTAGTCATCCTTATCTTTCGATTCTTCATTTTACTATTTAATGTTCCAGGAATTACTTACAAAGACAAATATCATTGTTTCATTTTTTAGACAATGCTAACAGTAGTCATCCTTATCTTTCGATTCTTCATTTTACTATTTAATGTTCCACGAATTACTTACAAAGACAAATATCATTGTTTCATTTTTTAGACAATGCTAACAGTAGTCATCCTTATCTTTCGATTCTTCATTTTACTATTTAATGTTCCACGAATTACTTACAAAGACAAATATCATTGTTTTATTTTTTAGACAATGCTAACAGTAGTCATCCTTATCTTTCGATTCTTCATTTTACTATTTAATGTTCCACGAATTACTTACAAAGACAAATATCATTGTTTCATTTTTTAGACAATGCTAACAGTAGTCATCCTTATCTTGCGATTCTTCATTTTACTATTTAATGTTCCACGAATTACTTACAAAGACAAATATCATTGTTTCATTTTTTAGACAATGCTAACAGTAGTCATCCTTATCTTTCGATTCTTCATTTTACTATTTAATGTTCCACGAATTACTTACAAAGACAAATATCATTGTTTCATTTTTTAGACAATGCTAACAGTAGTCATCCTTATCTTTCGATTCTTCATTTTACTATTTAATGTTCCACGAATTACTTACAAAGACAAATATCATTGTTTCATTTTTTAGACAATGCTAACAGTAGTCATCCTTATCACTTACCTCCAGCGATCTATTCCAGTTAACATTAGGATGGAGCGTGGGAATATTGTTGGTACATAATCCGTACTTCATGTTATTTAGATATTCCTCTCATTAACTCAAATCATTATCGGACTAACTATATAACTATAACTCTTATCGGGTTTCGTTCGTTTCGTCACAATTGAGTTTCGTTCGTTGGACTGATGACGCGTTCATTTTTTATAATTTTTTCTAAGCAACCATTTGATTTGTTGCAACGCCGCAGTGTGGTTATGGCAATATTAACAATTTGGCATTTAGATGATCTAGTAAATTTACCTACCTAGTGATTAACAATAAGGGTTTGTAGATGAAATAAAAAAGTCAAAGTCAAAGTCAAAATCACTTATTTCAATTAGGCCAGAATGGCACTTTTGAACGTCAACAAAAACAAAAATTTAAAGTGAAGCTATTTGCTCATTCCAAGGCGTAGATTCCTATGGAGAACAACGAGCAAGAAACTCCATAGGTTCAATCAGGTTTACAATACAATTTACTAGTTACATAGTTTTGCTGTTTGGATTGTGCGAGAACAATGTAACACCAAAATCCAGTCAAAGTGATCAAAAAAGAAAATAACCTTAAGGACAGTAATATAGTCTGGAGCTGACCAGTCCCAGTTGACGGCGCCCGTTCACGAACATGACACGTACACCAGCACCGCCCAACTCAACCATATTGTAGGGAATCGAGCGATCCACTGCACGCGCCACCGCCAATGAGACCTTTGAGTGAGCATGACAACTCCAAGCTGACACAAATGAAATCTACTAATCTAATTTAATATTAAGTTAATTACAGGGCTCTCACATTTACAATGGTTATCTAAGTTAAACAATATACAATTTGGCAATATGGCTGTATTATTTACGATTTCATTAAAACAAGTGTTTTTAGGTTATCCTGTGGAGCCGGACTAGCCTGCATCCAAGCATTTTTATCCTCTATATATTCATTAAGTTTGTAATATGCTTGTCTACATAAAGTTTTCTTTATACATAATTTAAATTTCGATTCATTTAGTTGTTGTACATCGCCTGGTATCTTATTATAACATTTAACACAGAATCCCATGAACGACTTACTTACTTTCGCTAATCTCGAAATTGGCTGACTTAATCTATTCTTATGTCTAGTTTGATAGTGGTGTCTGTCCGACACTTTACCAAATAACTGTAAGTTTTTCATATCATACATAATGTTTTCATAAATAAATTGACATGGAACGGTCATAATGTTGATCTCCTTAAACCTTTCTCTGAGTGATTCGCGACGACCTAGATTGTAGATAGCTCTGACGGCGCGCAAAAGTATGTTTATCTCATTTATACAATATATATTAAATATTGGTACTTATCTAAAGTTTTATTTACCTGTTTGGCCAACCTTTGGTCGGTATATCTTGTTTGTTATTGGAAATTTAGTCAAGACTAAAAAGTTTTGTTTAAAATAGTCGGAAAAATGTTATCGGTTTCGGTTTACACTCTCGCGCCTCAGCTACACATCTGCTACGAATGCTACGAAGCTACAATGCTACGACTCGTAGCACCGTAGACGTTGCATAGGCATTGCTGTAAACTTGATTCTTATAAAGGAGACATTTATAAGAAAACTTATTGTTTGCTAAAACGTACCGTAAATATATTTTATTACAAGTTCTGAGTAAAGACTGTAAAAGTCTTTTATTACCTTATTGACGAACCAATTAAATTTTTAATTTTCATACCCTTTCATCATCCCAATTATAGACTGATGGATGATTTAATGCCAACGCAATCAATGTTGGCTGACGTTAGCGGAGGATTTGTCATTTGTGTATGTTTATGGCAAATTATACTTTTGTAACTTATATAGGGTCGCTTTGATACTACAAAAAATATTCTTAATATAAGTTTCAACTCTGTCTCCTGAGCTGCGGAACGTCTAACGGGTTGCCGGGGCTCCAGCTCGAAGAGCAGGAGTAGGAACGGGGTGGTTTTTAGTCAATATGAGTCTGACACTCCCTCACCCCAACCCAAGGCGGGAGAAGTCAATGGATGACTTTATAAAAAAAATCTCTGTCACCTAGAAACTTAAATTCTTTATTGTATCTACCCACACAATCTAAAGTTCAACGAATTACTTACAAAGATAAATACCACTTTGACACTTTTTAAAACAATTAGGTACCTGAATAGTTACAATTGGGCATCCTTATCGCTTACTTACAGCGATCGGTTCTAATTAACAATAGGATGGAGCGTGGGAACATTGTACACAATTAAATACCATGACGCCTTGCTTGGTATTTAAGCACCAAAGTCGAACAAATTCATCATTCGTTCGTCTGTCGCCATCAGTGAGTGACGTCGAGACTTACTAACCTACGATTTTAAAATATTGTTTATTAAAGTTTTCTCACAATGGGTTGCGACGGTGGTACAATCCCTCGACGAAAGGAACTCGTCAGGATGAAGAAGAAGCCAGAACAGGTATGTGTCTTCTTTAATTATAATAGTCAATAAGTAAATAGTTTTGCAATGATTTCACGTAAAATTATGTTTTTTTTTGGATTTGATTTGAATTGATGGTAAACCATTGGTGCTGACCACGGAACATCACAGGAGTGCGGGCCTTTTGGGGATTGTGGTTTATTTTTACTTTTACTTATTCATTCTTCCTTTTACACTTACAGAAAGATAAAGATGCAGAACGGTCATTCAAGTGGCGTAACTGCGCTCTGTCCCAGCAACCTTTGCAAGAGCCTGTGGTAGCCTGTGGCCTCGGTAGGCTGTACAGCAAGAATCCTGTGCTTGAGGCGCTGGCCGGGGAAACTAAGCCAGACTTCATTAGCCACATCGAAAGTTTAGAGGTATTGTGTACATTTTAACATTTTATTTTTAGTTATCTTAAGAAATGCTTAAAATACTTGAAGTTCACATTTTTAGAGCCTTAAATTTATCGTTATTATTCCTCAATAATTTATTGATTACTAAATGATCCGGCCAACTTCGTACCGCCTAAAATTTTTTTCGCACTTTTTAAACCTTCCCTGGATTCCCATGAACATTTCATGACCAAAATTTTACTGATTGCATTTTTGACATTAGTATCGATCACTAATCACCCCCCGATTCGTAGTTATTTTGGAAATATACTTCATGTATAGAATTGAATAGATAAGTGTAGATTGTGACTTGAGTGACTTAATTAATACCTATTCACATATTTTGTTATCTTCTATCTTCTTTATATAATAATACCGAATTGTTCATTTTTCAGGACATCAAAGACTTAAACCTGGTGAAAAACCCCGCATATACAGCTGCTGATCACACCCATGGCGACGTGGGTGTGGGCAATGCCCCCTACATCTGCCCCATCAGTGGACTGGAGATGTCCGGCAAGTTCCGCTTTGTGTTCCTCTGGAACTGCGGGTGTGTCCTCGCTGAGAGGGCACTTAAAGAAGTCAGACAGAATCACTGTCACATGGTAAGCTTTAAACCATGTTACTAATTTGACAAAACGAATAGATATAAGGATACTTCCTATGCACCCTAATGCAAAGAATTCTTCTCTTTTATTCCCTAAATTAGAGTACATAATTCAGTATAGAAGTAGATAAACTAATATTTTCATACTGCCTGAACAGTTACCAAAGTTGCTCCCTGTTCTTACTTGTTATCAAGTACAACATGTCTAATTTATTGTGTTTTGTCCTCAGTGTCAGCAACCATTCACAGACAATGATGTAGTACCACTCAATGGAACTGATGATGACATAAAAAAGTTAAAGGAAAAAATGGCTCTCAGAGTTGCTAGCAGAAAAAGCTCTAAAGAAACAAAGACTGAAGAAACAACATTGAAGACAAATGTTAAGATAGAGCCGTTGACTCCCAGATCAGCCACATCTACAAAAGTTTCCACAGATGTAATAAAACCAGAGAACCAGAACATAAAACAAAGCGAATCAGGCCCTAGCTCGAGGACTGCAGTGAAGAAAGAAAAAATTAAAACAATACCATTGTCTCTGCCCAGGTATAATCCTAACCAGCACGCAAGGGGACATTTTGGATCTAGAAAGCGTGCCCACCCCACAGAACTAGCCCAAGACCCATCATATAAGAAAACCAAGAAAGAGTACAGTGTAGCTAAGGACCCTCAAAACAGTGAAGTGTTCAAGTCATTATTCACTTCACACCAAACTAATAAAAACCAGCAGAGGGCTCATTGGGTCACTTATAATCCTTTCTATAATTAATAAATTGTAGTTAGCACTGATTTTTTTATAATTAAGTTGAAGATTTGTGCTGTAAATAGTGACGTAAATGTAAATATAGAATAGCTCTTGTGATGTTTGTGATACACAATTATGTATTTTAAGAAATATGTCATTCTGTATGTGTATCAAAAATGTATTTTAGATAAGTACCAATATTTAATAAATATTGTATAAATGAGGTAAAAATACTTTTTATTTAATTTACAAACCCTATGTGCCAAACTCTAGGTCGGTAGATTCACTAGATCAACTAAGTATCTAACTGTTAAATATTGCCATAACCACACTGCGGCGTTGCAACAAGCGGGGTGGTTGCTTAGAAAAATTGTATAAAAATGAACGCGTCATTGCAGTCCAAGGAACGAAACTTAATTTTGAAAATCAGTGTTTGTGCCAACCCGCAATGAGTAAGCGTGGTGATTAATTCTTAAACCTTCTCCGTGCGAAAAGGGGCTTTGCTCAGCAGTGGGCATTGATGATGGTGATGACAGATATAATATCGCTTTATGGTAGATAATTATGTGTACCAACAATATTCCCACGCTCCATCCTAATGTTAACTGAAATAGATCGCTGGAGGTAAGCGACCCGGGTGCCTTTTTTTTTTTTTTTTTTTTTTTTTAAGGGGGGAAAATCATCGAATGACTGCTCCCGCCTGGGTGAGGCGGAAGGGAGTGTCAGACTCTTACTGACTAAAAACCACCCCGTTCCTTCTCCTGCACGTCGAGCCGGAGCCCCGGTTACCCGTTAGGTTCTCGGCGACTCCGAATCGGCATCGGCCCTATTGGGCCCCATCTGTGGTGGTCTGATGGCTCTTTGAGGCGCGCGCGGAACGCGACGCGCCGTACGCTCGGGTCTGTTTCTGGTCGGACGGGGAGCCACCCATGCTCGCCGTCCGCAGGCCCGCGCTTACGGTGGCCGGAGATCGTCCCGCGATCCCCGACGCCCGGTGTGTCCTTCGCGATGGCTGGGTTGCGAGGAGGCAGCGCTTCGCTGCCTCGCGCGTCCCGCCTCCTCCTTAGCCAGCATGACTGCTTCGCAAAAGGAGGAGACGGCATCCCAGTCCCCCTCGCTCCGCATCATGGCCTGAACTAGGCCCGGACGCGAGAGGTCTCCATCGCCGATCACTTCCCTGAGGGCACGGCGGTGCTCAGCCCACGCAGGGCATTCCGCAACAGTGTGTTCCACCGTGTCCTCAGGGTGGTCCTCGCAGTGATGACACCCGGGCGTTTCCTCCCGCCCCATCAGACACAGGTACCTCCCGAAACTTCCATGTCCGGTGAGGACCTGCGTCAGGCGGTAGGTGAGGACGCCGTAGCGTCTCTCAAGCCACTCCTCAAAGAGGGGACTTACCGCTGCAATGGCAGCGAGCCCAGCCCTCGGTTGCGACAGTCGTTGCTGCCATTCCGCCATGAGATCGCGCCGGAGCTCATCCCGCCACGCACTTATCTGGCGCGGCAGCGGAGTTTCGCCCCGGCGACGTGCCTCCGCGCGCATGTTATGCACGCGCGCGAGCACCTTCGCCTCCAGATCCCACGGCGGTAATCCGGCAAGGAGGTTCGCCGACTCCCCAGCGATCGTGCGGTATCCGCGGATCATTCGGATCGCCATGACCCTCTGTGACTTGAGCAGCGTCCGAGCAGGACGCCGCAACAAGTTCGGCGCCCAAACAGGGGCGCCGTAGAGGGCCATGGACCGCACGACCCCGGCGTATAACCTCCGGCAGGAGGCGTTTGGCCCCCCGAGGTTGGGGACCCGGGTGCCTATTGTTAGCATTGTTTGAAAAAGGTGGTATTAAAAAAAATCTTAGTAAATAATTCGTGGAACCTTAAATGCACTGTCCATTTAATTGAGACTAAGGCAAATAGATACTACATGCAAAGTTCAAAAATATGACCGTTGATTATATATTTTACGTAGGATTATAGAGGTATATTTTAGCAGTATCTGATATACGAATATATTTATCTCTATAATATATTTATTTATGAAGTTAATAACTGCCGACTGAAAACTTCACTAACGTCAGTCAACATTGATCGCATTAGCATTATAAGGCATTATATCATTGATCGTCAGCCTACAACCCTCACAGGTACCTACTTAAGGCTGATTGGCGATTTTAAACTTACAATTACAAATTTTAAGTCCAATTTTCCTCGCGACGTTTTCTTTATCATAGCCATGTCAGTGGTGAATAAATAAATAATAATCTCAGAACAAGTTGCATTGATCCTTGCCAGGTTTCGAACCCACGCACTCATGCACTATGCTTGAAAGCAAAACTACTTACATAACATACATTACATAACATCACGCCTTTTATCCCCGAAGGGGTAGGCAGAGGTGCACATTATGCCACTGTACAATGTAACACCCACTTTTCACTATTTATGTTATGAGTCCCATGTAATAGGGAGTGAGCCTATTGCTATATGCCAAAACTACTTACTGATACACAAATAAATATTTGAAATAAAAAAATGTTTTAACATTTAAAGACGTTTATTAAATTAAAAAATATTTTTTTATACACATAGGATACATGAGACATTACAATACAATTCAAATCATTTATCATTTACAAAAAAATACTTTTCTTCCAAACACAATAATTAAGTTGATTGTCTTTACCTTTGGAAGAATTCTGAAACAAAGTAATAACTTAAGCTAAACTAGATTAACACGGTATCCATCTAGTGAAAATATACCTATGTCATACAATTTATATCTAAAGCACCTAACTCTAACTACTACACATGTATACCTATACATATTTATTCGTATTTATAGTAACAACGTGCAGAAACTAAATGGCAGTTCCTAGTTCTCTTGTGTATGATCTTCCTAGTTTCCAATCTTCACATTCCAGTTTCTTGTTGAACTTGGCGTTTTTGTCATTGATGTAGTAATCTGCATCATCAAAATACCTTCGACTTCTAGAGTAGCGAGCTCTTTTAACAATCTGCTCTTCCAGCAGGTCATTTACCATCTTGTCGATCGCTTCCTCTCGATCCTTGTGCATCTCAAGAATGGTTACATTAGGTTCACTATGGAAAGCATCGCCATACTTCTGTTTCTCATACTGCTCCATATCAGCTGCTGGCATAATTTTAACCAGCTTGTGTTGTCTCACGGTAGCTTGTTCATATGTGGAGAATTCTTCATCAGAATTCCTTTTCTTCTTTTTACATTCAAGTCGCTCAGCTTCTACTGCTGATAATAAGTTTAATAAATTCACTCTGGCGTAATGTTTTTCTGCTTTCTCTGCATCTTGATGCTTTGCTTGGTCGTCGCGCAGCCATTCAGCTTGTCGTCCCTTGGCCTCGTAGTTCGGCGGCAGCTTATTCCTAGCCTGTTCAGCAACTACTTCATGTTGGTTGTGCGTCCTTGCTTGATTTCTAGCAGAGTGCAGCGATCGCAGTCTTTTGATGCGTTTTATTTGTCTCTCGACAAACGATATGTCCTTGGGGGCCGATGATGATCGTTCTACTTGCGAACTCATTGTTGTGTTGTTATAAAGAATGTTTTCAATAAAACAATATTTTGTCTCGCGTACTATTTTAAATTTTCTTCGACAATGTAACGCACAATAAACTCTTCGATACACGTCTTCACTGGCTGACGAGCAGTGAGATACTGACACTACCGAGCGACCAGCCGTTGCATTTTATCATCGCTCGCTACTTGTCGGTGACTCATCCGTAAAAAGTTTGTGGTATTTTAGTTCTAACAATTGCTAATTACATCTATTGTTACTTGTGTGTGAACAGGATGAGAGTCTATAGGGGCGTTATTGAAAGTGGTAACTTCGTTTTATTTGACATTCAAGTTTAGTCAAGAATAAAAAGTTTGGTTCGAGCTGGACTCGTTCTGATTTAGTGTCAAATAGTTATAAAACTTATTATACTACAGTTTACACCCTCGCGCCTCAGCTACACCTCTGCTACGAATGCTACGATGTGCCGTAGCACCGTAGATGCGGCGTAGCAATTGCAACAAAATTGATGTTAATTTTAACTTATGAAGATAGGATTTTTGTTTAATCCTTATCGTCTCTCAATAAATGGACTAAGCAACACACAAATAATTGTTTAATTCAAACGAGTACATTTCAATATCTAATTGACGGACTAAATAGATTTTTAATTTTATATCCTGTCAATAAACCCATTTACTAGGTAGATATTTAACTAATGATATTAACAGTTGCAATAGGCAATGATTAATTACTATGGTCAGTATCAATCAAGTCATAATTATGTGAATAAATACTAATTATTAGCTATTAACTTAATGAGCACCCTTTACTTAAATCTTTGATCAATAAACGTAGATATTATTTTATTTTATTTTAATTTTACATTTATGATTAAAGTAAGGCCAAGTACAAGTTTTCGCATATACCTCTATTTAAATTATGCAACTAGTAGCTGTAAGGTCATACTTCAACAGCTGCGTACTGAAACGGCGGATGTTAATATAGAATAATCTATTTTTGGCATAAGTTCTGCTTAATTTTGAATTAAGAATGGTTTTACTAATTTCGTCAATAACAAATCAAACATCTTGTTAATAAATTTTAAACTTTATTTAATAAACACGATAGGTTTTTTAAATAAAGTTAAACGGTATAGTAGGCGGCCTTATTACTTATACTGTCAGCGTGGAGTTTTTAACAACGTTTTCTGATAAATGATTCCTTTACAAGAACCAAGACAGTAATACCTATGCCATCGTAGCTCACGACTCATCATAGCCTTCATAGCAGACGTGTAGTTGAGACGTGTACCGGTGTACACCGAATCATAAAAAGCACACAAGCAACAATAGATGCAATTCTTCGAACTAAAAGCCCACAAACCGTTTACGGATGAGTCATCGACAGGCAGCGAGCGACGACAATACAACGGCTGGTCGCTCGGTAGTGTCAGTACCGTACTGCTCGTCAACCAGTGAAGACGTGTGTCGAGGCGAAAGTTAAACGTTTCGTGTACAATTTTAATATACCAAGACTGCGTGTAATACAATGAGTGCCACAACTGAAGAATCTACATCGGCCCCCAAAGAGATGTCATTTGCTGAGAGACAGATGGATCGCATGAAGAGATTGCGATCACTGCACACTGCTAGAAACGAAGCAAGGACACACAACCATCAAGAAGTAGTTGCTGAGGAGGCCAGGAATAAGTTGCCGCCGAACTACGAGGCGAAGCGACGACAAGCTGAATGGCTGCTCGACGACCAAGCAAAGCGTCAAGAGGCAGAGAAAGCAGGGAAAGATTACGACAGAGTGAAACTATTAAACATATCAGCCGTAGAGGCTGAGCGACTTGAACGTAAAAAGAAGAAGAAGAATCCTGATGAAGGATTCTCTACATATGAACAAGCAACCGTGAGGCAATACAACAGGCTGGTTAAAAATATGCCAGCAGCTGATATGGAACAGTATGAAAAACAGAAACAGAAGTATGGCGATGCTTTCTATGGTGGACCTAATGTTATCATTCATGGGATGCATGAGGACCGGAGAGAAGCTGTCGACAAGATGGTTGATGACCTGGAAGGGCAGATTGCCAAGAGAGCTCGTTACTCTAGGAGACGTGCACACAATGACGATGCAGATATTGATTACATTAACCAGAGAAATGCTAATTTCAACAAGAAACTGGAGAGATTTTACGGAGAGCATACAGCTGAAATTAAACAGAACTTGGAGCGTGGAACTGCCATATAGTTATTGTAAGCTGAAACTATTTGTCCAAAGCTGTTGTACCTTATGGTACAGTTAGATGTAGTGGTTTGGGGTCTAATTTTATGATAATTATATTTTAGACTAAATCATAGTTAATTGTGATGTAATTGTTAATGTTTATAATTATGAGCCTCTAGCATGGCTTGAAATTAGTCGAGTTCCTCGTCAAACAGTTACGTAAGTAAGCCGAAAACATAATATGTAATTGTTAATGTTGTATAGAGATACTGTGACTCCATAAGAGTGTGGAAACTTTATTCTAACTTTATTGTCAGCTTTCGTAATTTTTTTATAGTTTCATATTTTAAAACTCGGTAATTATGAATGCTTATTCATTTTGGAGTAGATTGTATGTTAATCTAGTTTAGCTTTAGTTCTTAGTGCTAAGTATCACCTGTAAGGGTTAGAATGTATCAGAGTTGTTACAAAGGTTTATTCCAATTTGTTTACCTGGGTGATACAACTCAAGCCATTGAATTTTGTTTTTCATATAAATTAATTGCTTTTTATATCCTGTGTCTTAAAAATATATTTAAGGTTCAATAAATGTTGTGTAAAAGTATAAAATATTTCTTTTATTTCTATTACCTGAGTCGTTGAGGTTTCATTTTGAAAGAAAGAAAAGTAACTGTACTTAATTGTCATCATTTTTTTTTTATATTTGTTCGGTCGACGTTTGACCACTATCTCGCCTGGTGGTAAGCGATGATGCGGTCTACGATGGATCCCGTCGTCCCATAAGCAACCTATTCATAGGGGCCTTTAAGACACCCAGGTCAAACCCTTCAGGTAATACAGACTCTGGCAAAGAAATCCACTCCTTAGCAGTACGCACAAGGAAACTTGATGCTAAGCGCTTCGTGCGTGCGGGTGGGACATCTACCATGAATCGGTGACGCTTCGCTGATTGTCTTGTGGTACGATGATAAAAAAGACTAGGGGGAATCGAGTTGTGCAATTCTCCCGCACACTCACCAAAATGTATCCGGTAGAAAACTTTTCGGTTTTCGGCTTGCAACCTTAGTATTTACTGGCAGGCACAAATTTCATTTGGATAATTCCTTTCCGCTTACGATTATTCTTTTTGAGAAGCTACTGTTTCCAGCGAACATTACATAATAAGGTCACCTTCTTAATCACCAAGAGGTAGGTAGAGTTGCGAAGGCATTATATACTGCGTGTTGGTATTCAGTAAGTCAATATAGCAGTGTAAAACCCACTTTTAACAGTTAGGTATGTTATGGATTCCATCAAGTTCCTCGCAATAAGTACAGAGACTTCGTACCTAGGTACTATTACTGAGAAATGTAATATCCAAAAAGAGGAAATGCCAATAACGTCAGCCCGATTCGGTAATCCTTGAGATGTTTAACCGACTCTTACCTACACGCGTGAGACCATAGATGTAAATTAATATTTCTGTGTGAAAGACAATTATGAGCCGTAAAAGTATATTCTAAGTACTACTCTGCTACTCGGACCTAGGTAGGTACATGTACAGAACAGCATATGAAGGTAAATTGATTGAGCCTAAGACTAAATACTAAACTGGAAATAATTACAGCCGATTCCTTTGTACCAACAGTATTGTTTCCTACGGTGTCTATTAGTAAAATCGTAATTTTAATGTTATTTTTACGCATGATATCTGACTAGCAGGCGTAGCAAGGCCTCCTTTGGTTTGTTTGCTGAAACCTTTGAAAAGTTCACCTACATTTGTTTTATCGGTAATGTACGGAGTGTAAAGAGAAGGCTTCCAAAAAATATGATGAATAGTACCTACAGTTAAAAATAAAATATGGCTGATGATCAATAACATAATGTTAACGCTATCAATGTTGACCGACGTTAGTGAAGTTTTCAGTCGGCAGTTATTAACTTCATAAATAAATATATCAGATACTTCGTATATCAGATCCTACTAAATTTTAAAATCCTACGATCAACGATCATATTTTCGAACTTTGCATCTAATATGTATTTGCCTTCGTCTCAATAAGACGTACCTACACATTTTGATTCTTCATTTTATGATTTAAATGTTCCACGAATTACTTACAAAGACAAATATCATTGTTTCATTTTTTAGACAATGCTAACAGTAGTCATCCTTATCTTTTGATTCTTCATTTTACCATTTAATGTTCCACGAATTACTTACAAAGACAAATATCATTGTTTCATTTTTTAGACAATGCTAACAGTAGTCATCCTTATCTTTTGATTCTTCATTTTACCATTTAATGTTCCATGAATTACTTACAAAGACAAATATCATTGTTTCATTTTTTAGACAATGCTAACAGTAGTCATTCTTATCTTTTGAT